ATCTTGTACTTCTTGAACTCTTGCTCACTGATGGAGTATCCTTGATAGAGTGTAGGTGTTAGCCTTGGCTTCTTCACTGTCCAGCAGAAATGCTTTTGTCTCTTTAACAGTTATAGCAGAATATCTTTGCCATATAATGTTTAATCTTTCCTTATCTTTTAATTACTGTGCAAATCTAACAAAAAACTGTCTTTGAGCTAAATACTTATATAGATTTAGGGGCAGGCTGGTTTCCAGTTTTGTTCTCTAGCATTAAGAAATATGAAACTGGTTTGGGAAAAACTCCAACTAATAAGATTTAAAGGCCTCATTTAACAGTTTGAACACAGGCAGGCATAGGTTTATCAATAAATAGCAGTGTGATTGTACATGTGGACTTGTAGAAATGTTCATAGTGGTATTATCCAAATAATCCTCGCTTCTCTGCCACTCAGTATTTCTGAATAATTTTTAGCAGCAATTTTTAGCAGCATCATGTTTATAGTTGACAAATAGTATAGTTGCATGCCACTGAAGCAAAAAGGGGTCCTAGGTTATTTAATCAGAGTGCTGCAGAATAACTAATTGTAAGACATGTAACCTGCAGATAGACAACTATTTTGGCATGCTTGAAGCCTGGCTCTGTTTCTTGTTCTGGCATAGATATGTTATGTTATGTTACATCCATCATATTGTATGATGTTAATTAACTGTCTCTGCTTCTGTTGTCGTTTCTTATAGTAGTGTGTCTATCTATTTTGATAATCCATTTGCAGCAAGAAATATCTGCTTCTGATTTTATTTTTAGGGATAATAGTTGACATATAAGGGATATATGCACCATATATGCTATAAAACATGGTCTAGTTAAATACAAATACAAGCAGATAACTTTTCCTTTCTATTTTTTCTTAGAGGAAGTTTACATTACTTTCTGTAACTTAATTGTAAATTCAGTATAACCGTAGACCAGACAGCATGCTAAGTCTGAATTAAAAGCTTGTCAGTTTGAATTTTAAATTTGTATCTCAATTTGCACTTCTAGCTTAAAGAATAAATAGTTCCTTAAATTTGAAAAATACTCAGCCTTTGGGGATATTTGGATTTTTGCTTTGGACTTGCATTTGATATCTAGTGATAGCAAATAGAGAGAAATTAGAATTTTACTGAGTGTGATAATAGTTGAAAATAAACTAAACCTCATAGTTTTTTTGTTGTTCCGTATTTTATTTGTGGACTCTGTAAGTTCTGGAAACAAATCCTACTTCAGATGGTATAATGAGATTTTTGTTTTGGCATGGTACTTTTTCAGATAGGCACCTTATAAAATAGCCAGAGGGAATCCTGTAGAACTAAGTGACTTTGTAATTTCCATATAAAGCATACAAAAAGTACTATGGCTGTGTATAGAGTTACACTTTTGTCTTTGAAAAGACGTCCTTTGATCTCCGCCAAAAGCACAAAAGCTACTGCTACTAACTAAAACGTTTCATGCACCAAGGCCCTCAGTAATTCTGCAAGACACTTCACAATTTAGTATTTTTTTCTGTTAATCTGTGAATAACAAGATTACACCAGTACTTAATTATTTTACAGTTTGACTAACATCTAAAGTCCTCCACTAAAAACAAATGTTCTCTCTGAGATGAGAAATTCAAATAATTGCAGACGTGATGTATTTTTTTATATGGAATAAAAATGTAGTACTTCAGAAAACATTGCTCTGTTCCTAGAGTAATGTGTGCGTTTGTAGTGGAAACTAAGATACAATTATCTCCATGTGGGACTGCACTTGTTCTCTGGAGATATCTGCTTTCATTGAAACATGCTTGCACCTCATGCTTGGCACATCTTTTTCTGTAGGGAGAAAAGTAAAGTACAGTGAATTCAACAGTTAACAACTACTGTTGTTTTCAGAGGTATTTAAATCATGCCTAAGGCAAAAAAAAAAGTCATAGCAAAGTCCGAAATTTGATGGTTTTCACTGAAGATGGAAACCCCACCCTCCCTTTAATGGTCTGTGTAGCGAGGCTGTTGGCTCTTGAGCATCAATTTAATCTTAGTCAAAATTTAAAAGAACTGATGATGCTTCATTATAAAAAACAAACAAAAATGCTTTTTTTGATTGTAAAGCTCTTCCTTTGGCAAAATAAAATAGAATTTGCTTTTAATAAAATATATTGACACTGAAATACTTATTATACTATAAATACTTAAAACAATTTGATAAGCTTGCAGCCTAAGAGGTGGCTTTGACTCTTCAAGTTTTATGGATTTGGATTTTTCTTTTTGTATCTTTTTTTGTGTCCTTAAGAATGGAATTTCACCAAACTTATTCCACTACTGCATAGTTTACAAATCTCATTGAGAATACTTTTTTCTTGTAAATCACATTTGTGGATTAAATTATGCTGGTGAGAAGTACCTTATTTGTAGCTGATTTCCTCAAGCTTTTTGATCTGTTCTTTTAAGTGTCCCGATTTTGCAGATAATAAATCTGCTTTACTAGACTTTCAAAAAGTAGATGCTTAATGCAGGCTTTGGTGCCAAGTCAGTTTTGCTACTAATGGTGTATCTTTTTTGATGGATCTTTAAATAATACAGAGTTACGTGCAAGCTGGCTTTCAACCACAATGACAAAAAATGAACACGTTTCATTACTAGAGGCATAATCTTGAACAGCTTTCCTAGACTTGTTTTAAATGCTCTAGTATCAAGATTACCTTTTCTGGGTGCAAGTTTCTGCATTTATTTGGAATATGAATGCTGGTTCAGGTAGTTTTTGTTCACAATGCCTACTGAAACAGTTACTTTATTGCTCCATGTGTACCACTGTAGTAACAGATATTAGCATATACTGAATCTTTAACACTAGAGAAAATTTGCTGTCTCCCACTTTTCCTTTCTTTAATGTAAAATCTGATGGGATGGGCTACATAAAAAGAGTTAGTTTTCGGTGTGGAACACTGAATCTATTGTTCCTTGTGACCAGTGTGGCATGGCAATCCAAGAGATCTCTTCCCAAATCTTTGGGCAGCTACAAAGTTCTGCTGTGTGAAGAATTGTTGTTAGCTTCTAAGCTAGAGCATTTTTCTGAGTGTTGATAATGAGGGAAGGATAAAAAAAAGAAAACAACAACACAACCCTATAAGCTTACCTCAAGCATACATAGAGACAATAGCACAGCCTTTTGGGTTCCCAGGTTGAAAAGTTGCATATTCTCAAAACTTTACTTAAATGGTGATTAAGTACTCTTGCAGTCAGGTATTAAACATGTTTTATACATGTTTTCCTTGGCTGTGACTAGACAGAGTCCAACCCATATTAATGATTTTGTTTTTGTTTGTGTGCAGTGTAGCTTATTTATGTGATACTATGGCATTGGCTGACTAATTTTACATAATAAAATGCTTTGCAGAGTGCTGAATTTGTAACTACTGATTTCAGTAGCTTTTAAAACTTCTGTTTCAAACAATGCTCAGATGACAGACCTTTCATGAGCATGGGGTGTGGACAGAAAGAATAGGAAAATTCTGTTGTAGTGCTTCTCTATCATGTGTTAACCAAGGCAGTACTGAAACTATGTTTTGTAATTGATTTATATCTAATCAATTTTGTTCCTCTCATGGAATCTCTAAGTGCATCTAGAATTGTATTTCTCCTGCTCTTTTTTCTTTCTTATAGTCATGGTCATCTTGGAACACATATCTGATAATTATCCTGTGTCAGTTAGTTGTCTAAATAATTTACATTGTAAGAGTCTCAAAGGACTCTCCAGCTGACAGGTCTGATTTAGAGCTGTGAAGTCTTTGTTATGCAAAAAAGCCTTTCTCATTTACTTCTGCACTTCCTTCTCTGTTCTATTGCAATACATCTTGTTTTGGATTTTGGATTGGTAATACTTTGATGCTGTCATGCAGATACAACTGTTCCTTGAAATATTGATGTTCATTTCCTGATGTGCTTACTTAACCTCTGCATAAAGATCAATGGAACACTTGGAGAACAGTTAATTTTGTTTACTGACAGAACTGTTGTCTGAAGCAGTGGATCTTAACCCATTTCTCTGTTTCAGTAAGCTGGTCCTAGCTGTTGTGTTGAGACAGATAGGACCCTTTCAGCTGGAGCTAGCCTAAACAGCTATCTCAGTCATCAACAGAGATTTAATCCCTTTTCACAGATTTAGCTAATGGGTCTAAATAGTAACATTTAACAAAATTGCAAGCTGTTTATAGAGAAAAGATTCAGTTTATGCAGTAAATATATGTAAGCTTTGCTTTCGTGTATATGTGACAGCGAAGAACATGTATTCAGTTATACTTGTCTTTGTTTTCACCTGGTAAAAATACAAACAGCAAATCCTTTAGTGTTTGTGTGCATTTATGTAAACAGTGTTTCTGGTTTCTAATTTTTTCTGCAATGTAATTTCTCCCTGATCAGAAATGAAGTTCTCTGCAGTAGAGAGATGTGCTGCAATTATACAGGCTATTGGACATTATAGAGCGTATCTGATATGAGCTAAGTTCACTGCTGCTCTTGACTTCAGGGGATCCTGCAGTGTTTTTTCTCTAATGACAATCTGAATAGGGGAGAATGAGGGACTTGATTTAGTTTCATAGCAGTCAGAATGCTGGGGAAGCTCAGTCTGACATGAGCCTCTTTTCACAAATTACATAGGAAAAGTTGATATCATTCAAAGGGCATATTGACTTCACATGATCAAGTAGGTGCAAATTAACATGTTGATACATTGATGTATCATTACATGAAAATTTCTATTGTTTCTCAAGCTCCTCAGGAGAATATCCCACTTAGTTAATGCTGTTGTCTTGTCTGTATATTACTCAGGGAAATAATCTCCGCAGTCTTCAGCCTGAACTTGCTTGTGATGGCCTCCAGGCTGGGAATCTGGTGTTTTTTTTATTACCTATTATTTATTTGCCCACCTTGTGCACCCATGTATACAGATTTGGTACAAAAGGAATGCAATCTGAAGCTGGATTACATTCAGACCTACTCTGAATCTCTTCTTCCTCATCTACATCCTTTTTTCTGAGTGTTTCTCCATACTACTGGAGACGATTCAGTGAAGGCTACTAAATAAATAAAAACTTCAGTGGCTAACTGCATTTTGAACATGATCATGTTTCCCTCCTATCTCTCTGTAAAATATCCCCTTACTCATGCCGCTTTGCCCATCACCTGTAATGCATTTTTCTCATCCTCTCTTTCCTGCTGAGATTGCTCTCATGTTGACAGAAATTAACTCCTTGTCTTCAAGGTCCTTTCTTCTACCTGATCAATAATGGTCATAGTTATCTGCACTGTATCATTTCAGCTAATGGCAAGGCAGTGGCTTGTGTTTATTTTTATCTCTTTAAAATCTTAAAACAGTGGTGTCTAATAAATTTACTACATAATAGTGTAGCTATTCTGTGCATTCAGGTTACGTGTATTACTGTTTATGTATGACTACTGTATAATGTGTATAAACTCTGTGGTTTTATGGACAAAGCCCTGCCAGCTTACGTCAAGGTAGCAGGCATTGTGTATGTACCGTGCCATCTCTACTTGGAGAAGAAATCTGGGAGACTGTTATCTGGAGGAAGGGGAGTCTACTTAGTACATGGTAATTTTCCATTTCTATTGTACTATTTGGTGCATATTTTGGCAATTCCTTCTCATTTTTTGGTGCTGCTAGTCAGTGCATTACATTTGTTTTCCTAGTGTCATGACTTCAGACCTGGAGGTGTAACCCACGTTGGTGCCAGCTGTCATCACTCCAGCAACAAAAACTTTCCTTCTTAAATGGGTAAATGTTGAACAAAATATGTGGGACCTCTTGGACTCTAAAGAATTCCAAGTTAGAGGTGTCTCATTAACTGCAGAAAAAGACTGCGGAAAACCAAGGGCTGTGTCAGCAGACTCATGTGTACTTAGGGTAAGTGAAGATGGTTGTGTTTTTTTTTTTTTTTTTTTTTTTTTTTTTTTTTCCCCTGACTGTTCCCTTGCAACTTTGATAAAGTCATTTGTGCTACCAATGTGTATTTTACCCTTCATGCATGTAGTCAAACAACAGCATATATACAGCTTACAGAGCAGAGTTGTGAATGCTTCAGTAAGCTGTTTTCTATAGCCTGTCACTCATTCTGGGTTGTTCTCTTTCCCTGGAACTTGTAAGAGTATTCTGAAAATGTAGAGGAATTATGTGAGACCCCAAGTCAATGCAGAATCATCAGAATTCCTTTTTTTATTTTCATGCAAACCTTTATGGTCCATTCAGTATATAGTGTATATCAGCTTCCAGATCTTGAGTTGTTCTTGAATAGAGGCTGGGAAATAAGGCACAGTAAGACTCTTTTGAACAGTTTGTTTTATGGTCAGGGCTCATCACTTAAAATGGTCTGGCCTACAGTATGCTGCTTGCAGATGGTATATCAAGGACTTATTTCTAAGGTGAACTGAACTTGTTACTATCAGTAGGAAATAGTTTTCTTTCTTTCTTTCTTTTTTTTTTTTTTTTTTTCTGGTAGTTCCAGAGCTTTGAAAATTTTAATTGTCATGTTCAACATTTTATTCTCTATACATTTAAATTGTTGAATTAAATCATTAGCTGTACATATTAACATTCCTGAATTTGTGAGATTGTAGTTGTCCTCCTAAGCTGCCTTTCAGAAATTAACATGTAGTAAAGAAATTAAAGACATACTGGTCTAAACATGATTCCTCTGGGTAGCTTTAGAAAGTTGTTAATATATATATTTTTGCCTTCAAACCTTTTAAAGAAACTTCACCACAAAACAAGGCAGACATAAAATAGTTGGGTACTGGGAGAGTGGGTTGCATCTGTTTTAGCTTACAAAACTGGCAGTGTTCATATTGGTCTCATATTGGCCCCTCACTACAAGAACGACATGGAGGTGCATGAGAGAGTCCAGAGAAGGGCGACAAAGCTGGTGAGGGGTCTGGAGAACAAGTCTTAAAAGGAGCAGCTGAGGGAGCTGGGATTGTTCAGCCTGGAGAAGAGGAGGCTCAGGGGTGACCTTATTGCTCTCTACAGATACCTTAAAGGCGGCTGTAGTGAGGTGGAGGTTGGTCTGTTCTCCCACATGCCTGGCGACAGGATGAAGGAGAATGGGCTAAAGTTGCACCAGGGGATGTTTAGGTTGGATATTAGCAAGAACTTCTTTAAATAAAGGTTTGTTAGGCATTGGAGTGGGCTGCCCAGGGAAGTGGTGGAGTCACCATCCCTGGAGGTCTAACGTTTAGATGTTGAACTTAGTGATATGGTTTAGTGGAGGACTGGTTAGTGTTAGGTCAGAGGTTGGACTATATGATCTTGGAGGTCTCTCTTCCAACCTAGACAGTTCTGTGAGCCTGTATAATGGATGGTAGGACTTGGAGTCAGTACTGTAGTAGACATAACAGAAAAATAGTAAAGAACAGACTTCTGTTTTGTCCTTGGATTATCTTTTTTTTCCTGATTATCTTGAATAAGTCACTCAGTTGAAAGCTAACCTTTGACATTTTAATGTCTTTTGCTACAAAGTTTACAGTATGCCCATGTGTTATTTCATATTCTGCAGTGATTATTTAATTAAATTCCCATGGAATTGTGAATGGCAGCTTTAATTGCTCTTGTGTTTGAAATATGTTTGCTGAATGGCAAGGTGGTGTTAAACTGTAGCTCATTTTTGGAGCAGTTTGTGTAGATAAGATGATTTTCAGCTATATAATTGGTTTTAAAAGATCCTTTTGTTCATTTTCTTCTTGATTGGGTTTGTCATCAAATTAGATTTTATAGGAGTGTGTAGATTCATCATTTACAAATTAACTTATACTTTGTATGCACAGATATATTCTCCAGATACATGTTTTAATGGTTCTTTATATCAACAAATACTTGTAGTACCATCTTTTTGTAATATCCCAGTTCTGCTTATTAGTCACAGTCTAATGCTTGTCTCCGATCTTTTGATTGTCTTCTAAAATAATTTTTTTTTTCCTGAAAATTTATTTCTGTGAGTTTTTGGTAGCACAGCTCAATCACATAAGTATGATGGCAAAAGGCAAATACAAATGATATGAAAATACCATCAAAATAAGCATGTCTAAACAACTGAATGACACAGCTGGGCAAGTCTTGAAAAATATTCTGTATTTACAAATAACGCTGAATCCATGTATGTTAATCATGTCTGCTAGTTGAATTTAAATTCTTATAATTATTTGTTTGCCACATATTTGTTCAGCTCTTTTCTTTTGTTTTCAAGGGATTTGTATGAAATGGGTACTTTAGTTCAGAGTAATGTGATAATGGTAAATTTTCCATTTGTTTTCAGTACTTGCCTACAAATTTGATTTCTACCATCACTGTCATGAGAATATCAATGGAAACCAGTGGAATAGATTAGAATAATAAAGCAATAAGAAATGTGAAGAAATTAAATAATTATTTTTAAGTCATTTTGTTAATAATCTGTTGGAGTTTTTTCTTATTTGACGCTAGTTGTTGCACTAATTTTGCACACTAGTTGTCAGGATGGTTTTTCACGTGGAGCTGTCTAGTATACACAAACCCCTGTGTGGTCCAGAGCCTCTCACTGATGTTAACTTGAAAAGTTCAAGCTGGATTTCTCTTCCTCAGGAAAAATTACTTTTCCTTTTATGTATGTTGGTTTATCATCTCCTGAAATCTATAGTTTCAAATATCCACATTATTCTCCTGTCATGTATACTTTATATGTAACTTTTTTTTTCTCAATTTGAATAAGAGTTGAGAACTTAAATATGTGTTTTTCTTTAAAGTATATTGATACATGGTGTAATCAGAATTAAGATTATTGTAAATATTTAATTATAGGGGGCATGCAGAAAATATTATGTCTCCACAAATTCTGTGCAGTCTCCTTACTGTAAACCAGTAAATATTAGAAATTAGATGTATTTATTTGCTGCCTTTGGACAGCTGTTTATTATTGTGGAGTTTTAAACCAAATAATTTTATCCTTGATTAGTAATAATTGTAATGATTAGAACATGAGTTTATAGATTTAATATTATTATAGATTGTTTTTGCAATGGAAGACTTTACACAGATACTTTGGACAGATTATGTAACTATCACTCTTAAAAGGCAACAACGCTAATTGCATCAATCTCAACTACAAGTTAGCCTTGGAAGCTACTGCTTATAGGTCTGGTTTGCCTTATGTCACAAGTACAGCTGAGCCATTTGTTAAACCTGTCAGAGCCTACCCTTCTAATTACACATCTCTTAAGGTGTGGAACCTGAATATGTCTGCTTTTGTAGTTCTCCATGGTAACAGCATGTTTTTGATGGTCCAACTTTGAGGATGAGGTCGACCAGAAGGTACCTTCAGAGTTATTTTGTGATTCTAGGGTATGTATTTGGTGCCTTAGTCCCTTCTGTGTAAGCCTGTGCTAGTGATGCAAGTAACATGCACAAGCATGATATATGAAGAAATGGGTTTATAACGTAACTTTAATATTGGTGTTGTTGATTTCCTTTATGGAAGGGCTCACTAGCTACCTGAATAAAAGACAACTTTCCCGTTGTATTTAAAAAACAAACAAACAACTGATTATGAATCAGAGAGGATTAATGGTGTAGAACTGAGTTGAGTTTGTAAGAACAGTTTCCTACCTTTGGAAATGAAGCTCTGCAAAAAAAAAAAAAAAGTTATTGCTCCTGTTGTCTAGAAAGCAGGATCGTGTATTGCAGATAATGCATCTCTGTGCTCTGGAGATCATTTATACCTGTTTGTACTACCACGGCTCAGAGGGCTGGCACTCATTTCTGGAGAGCTGGTCTCTCTCTCTGCACCTTGGTGTGCTGCATGGTTGGTTGTGCCATGGCTGAAAAGGGGCTCCGAGATGCTGCTGGGTAATTTGCAGCTCACATTCACCTCTGGACTTAGGGACACGTACAGTACGTAAAACCATAGACAGAGAATGTATTTACTAGATAAATAAGTAATAGGGGTTGCAAGCATGTTATTTCATAATGCTGGGGGGAGGGTGGATCCTTTATAAATGTCAGTTGTCAGAAAAATCAGCCTGGTTGCCATATTTGTGTAATTTCCCAGTATTCTCCCAACATCTTAGCTAGTCAGTTGTATGTGTTACTAGTGCTTAGGAGAATGTAGTTTGGTTACCTCTCACATTTCCATCCTGTAAAATAAACAGAAAAGACAAAATACTCTCCTTTAAGCCTTATTGAACTGAGTTATATGTCAGTTCTAAGTATACTGGTTAATTTGAAGTTCTGTCATATTCCAGGCTTCTCTAAATGTATTTGTTTACCCAGATGCATATCAAATGAGTCCCCATTTAGTAACTGTTCCCTGACAACTTGTTCTCAAATCAAGTTTACTCTACTTCCCTTTCTTTCTTATTTCCTTATGTATATATACTAATATTCTCAACAAACAGAAATGGAATTTCAACTTGAATTTTGATTACATCGGTTGTCACTGAGAAGTTAAACTGCCAAAACCAGCCGTCAGTTCACTCAGGTTAGTTCACTAGAGTTAAGCAAATGTTCTCATAAACTATTTTTTTTAAGACAATACAAAAAAAAAAAAAAAAAAGAAACAAGTTCTTATTCTTTCATATATTCTGCATTGCATACAAATCAGCAGGGGATTCACTAATACCTTACTAAGACAGTGGGGTAGTTATTGTTAACTCTCTAATAAAATGTCTTCTCTAAATATCTATATATACACTTCTCGAAAATCTAATTATTGGTCTTAAGGAGGATAAAGGATGTTGAAAGATGTTCTTAAA